TTGGACCGACGCAAACCCCCGACGAAGCCAAGGCTCTGCTGAAAGCGGCAGCGGATCTGAAAATCGACGTCAGCGACGGGACGATTACCTCTGAGGAGTTAAAGCAAGCACTGCACACCGAATCCGAAAGTGATATGGGACACTCAAACGTTACATTCTCAACTGTTACATGAATTTGTCATGCAAAAGCACCTTAAGCTGGCAGATGATCAGGCTGCTTCGCATGACAAATTCCGCTTGGGCTAAACAACATCTAAATCTGCAGCAAACTTGTAATGCCACGGGCGCAGTCTTCCTCCTTTCACCTTTGCCAGTCTTGTATTAGTAACTACAGTTGAGAATGTAACATTTGAGAACTCCATAAGTGAAGCCGCAAAACTTTTCGCCGAGCACGTGCAGGCCCGCTGGCTGGACGAAAACGCGGGCGGGGATGAGGTGTTCGGGACCACGGGTAGCGGCGTTGACGAGCATGCCGCTATTGGGGACGGTCATGATCCGATCGAGAAGACCGAGTGGCACGGGGGAGACGAGGTCTTCGCAGCCGCGGACACGAACAACGACGAAACAATAGCCGAGGATGAACTGGCCCAGCTTCGGTACAAACAGCGAATGAACCAGATGGGACTCGACGTTTCGAAGCCCTTTCCGGTACCCGGCACCCCGGCGTACGACGCCCTGTCGCCGGACCAAAAGGATGCGCTGGAAAAGACAGCAGATGACACGTTCCCCAACACCGGCGAAGGGACGGGCGGCGAGGAGAAAATAGCCAAACTGGCAAACGTTTTCCGACCGGGCGGCGGCGAGACAGGTAAAAGCGCAGCTCGTGCGGTACATTTTTACACGGACAACATTTTTGCGGAGCTCCGGACCCACGACGGGGGCAAGGAGGAAACATTAAACCTATCCGCCAAAGACGTGGAGGAGCTTGGGGACGGCAAGCTGCCGCTCACGGCAGCGGAGCTCCCGGGCACACACCGGGACAGCGAGGGCTCGTCCACACTGTACGATACATTCAAAACTCAGGACCAGAACGGCAACGGTCAGCTGGATGCAGAGGAGATGTGGTGGAAGGACGGAACGCCTCCGGCTTCCGTCAGGAACCATGACTGGGTCGCGGCCGCGGTCGGCGACAATTCGCAGGCGGGGCCCGCGAAAACGGTTTACAAAGATGAGGCGAACGCGGTGTTCGATGTGCTAAATAAAAAGTTTGACCTACCGGACTCGTTTACCCCCGAGCAGTTGAGGCAGGCAACGGGCGCGTCGACAGACGAAGCGGCGCAGAAAATTTTCCTGGACAGTATGCAGGACACGTGGACTGCAAGGGTCACCGGCGATGACGATAACGGTTTGTTCAACAGTGCAGAGGAGCTGCAGCGGGTCGGCGACCACCATTTGCCCATAGAGCAGGCGGAATGGCACGGCGACCCGAGCGTTTTTGCGGCCGTCGCCGACCCGGAGACGCACCAAACCGAAGGCACAAGTGCTGCCACACTGGACAAGCTGCAGGACGCGCAGCAGAGTGTGGATGCGGGCTTCGTCCTCGATGAATCAGTCTCGCCACCGACCTGGAAAGCTCCGGTGGACGGCACACCCGCGGCGGACGCGCTGCAGGCCGTGATTACGGACCACCATCCGCGCGTCGTTCCAGCGGGCGTGAATAGTGTGGACGATTTGAAAACGGAGTGGATGGACATGTCCGTCGAGGACCGTAAGGAGGTTCTAGACGCGATGCAATTTGAGAAGCTGGAAACAGCGGTGCGTGCACAAGATCCCAACCACTTTCCGCTGGGCGAGTTTGGTCCGGCGAACGAGCAGGACGTCACAAAACTGGCGAGCTCACTTGGGGACGGCGCGCCCCCGCTGGAGAAGGCAGAGCTCCCCCTCGACGCCACGGTGGCGGACGCCATGGACAAAGATCATGACGGACTCATCGAAGCCGGCGAAACGCTAGATCAGCCCCCCGCCGCGATCGTGAGCGAGGTGCTCCCCGACTGGGCGGGAAAAGGACTGACACACGACCACTTCACCGCAGACGAACAGCAGATGCTGACGAAAACCCTGGACAAGCTGCATCTTTCCGCAGCGGACTTGCACGACCCGGGCAAGCTCAAAGACGCACTGGGGCTCGACGCCAGTGCGAGCGACGAGGCCGCGCACAGGGCTTTCGTGGAGGCGACGCAAGCCACGTGGACAGCGCAGGTCGGCGGCGTCGACGGCATTATTTTTTCCAGGGACGAGTACGAGAAAATCGGCGATGGAATAAAATCGCTACGGAATGCAAACATGTAGTCTTGGTCTGGGAATAAATTGCCGGGCTTGATGATGTCATGCTTGGCAAACAGGAGGGAAAGCAAAGGTCTGTCACGCGTGTAGCGATACAGTGGCAGAGGCAGTGCTATTGTTTGGCAGCCAAATAAAACCTCACTCGTCAGGTGCCTTAGTTGCGCAAGACGTCGTCGCCAAAAAAATTGTGATGCGTGGCTCCGTAAGCGTAAACTTCGACCTTCGGCGCTTCATAAAATACCCAAACACTGCTTAGCCTTAGGGTTCGCATATAGCATCACAATTTTCACCCAGAACCAGATGGCATATTTGCACTTGGTAGCCACCCCTGACGGCCGACGAATGGCACGGAGACCCGAAGGTTTTTGCATTGCAGACAGATGATGGTGAATACAAAGAAGCACTGTCCTGGGGACGGATGAAGAAAGTCGCAGGAAGGCAGCTCATGCCTGTCCTTGGGATGCCAATCCCCTCAACACCTCCACCGCCCACAGCGGCCGAGGTGTTTACGCCTGAAGTGCAAGCTGCTTTCGCCGCGACGCAGGGCACTGGTGAGGCTGATTCGCACACAGTGGCCAAGATGATGAGCTTCCTGACCCCCGGGGACCACGGCACGGACCTGTTTGACAAAACTTCTGCAGACCGGGCCCAGTGGCTGCACGAATACTCGGAGAACTACGCGGCAGCGTTGCTGGATAGCGCCGGGAAGGCAGGCGGGCAAGTAGACGACGATCACGTTAAACTCACGGATGACACGTTCGCGGCCGCAATAAATCTCGGAGACGGTCACCTGCCCGTTACTGCCGCGGAGTTCCCCGGGGGGGAGGAGTCCGGCGGGCTTTTTGACCAACTGGACACTGATGATGACGGGAAAATTGAAGCGAGCGAACTGCCTGCCGTCGTAGCGCATGAAGATGAGGCGGAAACTGCTACTCCCGCAAACGACCCGGCAGGAGATGAAGCTGGCTCCTCGTCAGGCTCGCGTGGAACTACTGGTGGTGACTCAACAACGGCTGCTCCGGAGCACCAGGCGGATCCTGTTCCTGCCCCCGCGCCAGGCCCGGGAACCGGCGATGGCTCTGCAAACGCGGGATCAGAAGCGGGAACCGGTGACGGTGGCAGCGAGAGCCCGGCTCCAACCCCGGCTTCACCCTCCCCTGCAGGCTCGGATGCCGAGGAAGATGGCAGCCGCGAGAGCCCGGCTCCAACCCCGGCTTCACCCTCCCCTGCAAGCTCGGATGCCGAGGAAGATGGCAGCCGCGAGAGCCCGGCTCCAACCCCGGCTTCACCCTCCCCTGCAAGCTCGGATGCC